GCTATTATCTTAGGAACTTCACTAACAAATTCTATTCAGTTAACCAAAACTAAGAGTAGGTAGTTAATCTAATATTGAAACGTTGTAAAAAGTATTATTCCAGGTGCTCAAGTTCCAGGAAAAATCCAGTAATAGAAACTCAAAGTGGAGCGTATCTTCCGGTGTTCGCGAACCAGAGAAGGTCCGCCCCTGCGGGAAAAGGAAGGAAAGAAAGATTGCGGGCCAGTGTAATTTCTATTGCATTTCTATCTCGCTCGACGGCCGAATTAAGTAGGTCCGCATCCGTTCGCGTAATTCTTATTACAAAAGCGTACACGCAGCCGGCACAGCATTATGCCTAGCCCTCGGCCCGCTCGTAATTCCAAGCGCGCCACTTTTTCCCTCGCTGTAATCTTCATAACGATGTCGCGAGTGTCGTAACACGCTAAATTACTGGATCAATGCGCTTTAAGAGGACTGGCTTGCCTCCGGAAGACGATGCAACCTCTCCACGGTACGGCCCGTGGAGGAACACATCGGGCCAAGGGGGATGAAATAATCTTGCGAAAATTCAATCAGCAAAATGCGTCACATATTCCCGTCACCTCCCCCTGTACGCGTGTGCCTATGATCGTAAATAAGCTGAGTTATGCTGTGGGACGAGCGGATTTAAAGGCGTCGAACCTCAACTGCGGAGCTACACGTTAGTTCCTGATCGCTTCAAAAACTTCTCAGTTCTTGATTAAATATCATATTTGACTAACAATTTTAGGATACAGTTTCAAGAAAATATGTTTTTTTTACTTCGAATTTAATATAGTTTAATAAGCTAATTGTACAGATGCAAGATTCCATATATCCAATTAAAAAATGATGTCTCAGAACCAAACGCGAGTTTGTAATCCATTTGTTGTTGAGCTGTGACAGCCTATTCGGATCATCCCTTAATGACAAATATGCCAAGCTTTTTTCATTAGTAGCCACGCACGCAACAATAGGGCAGTATCGTTCTTTCATGCCTGTCAACATTACCGGCTGATTTTTAATGATAAATATCATTTTATGTATTCACGCAGGTTCTATAGGTGTAGATAACTAGGATAGTACAACTATGTCAACGTATACAATTTATTCTACGGTTATACACTTTGTAATGAGGATTTTATATTCACTCATGCTCAAAATTAATTAAAAGAAAGGATCGTAATTACAGAAAAGAATAGAGAAAAACCACTTGCACACAATGGAACGTATACTTATCATTAGAGTCGTATACAATAATGAAAATACAATAC